AATAGGTATATATGTTTAGTGTTTATTTTTCAACCTATGTGCTTATTAAGATGTTGCATTATAAATCGTATGAAATCATGAATTTAGATTGTTGATTCAAGCTTAATTGTAAAATCTTTGGTTCATGGTTATACTTTAATGCATGCTTGTTATATTATAGATGGATTTATCTTCTTTTTATTGCAACACATGACTTGATATGCTATATGTATGCTAAGCTCTTGAACATTAATGAACATAATTCCTATTCTTGATGAAATCATTGTAAAAAGGGGGAGAAGTAATGTGAAAATTTTTGGATTTTTGGAGAAGCAAGGCGAATTTTTGGAGAGTTGTTGAGAAGAGCATGTTTTTGGTTCAATTGGGAATTTCTTTCTTTTTAAAAAGGGGGAGAAGTTTTCTTTTGGATTTTTGAGCACGATGTGTACATTTGTACGAAGTGTGCTTTTTACCACTTTTGTTTTTATTTTTCCAAACACCAAAACATTTTTTATGGGTTTGCCAATGTGTTCATTAAGGGGGAGATTGTAAAATCAAAGGTGTTTTTGATTATTATTCTTTGATGAACAATTGGGCATTGGAGATTATTGGTTTTGTTATTTGGAATGTATTCACGAAGTGGTTTTGGAGATGATTAGATTCACAGGTGATCGCAGGATTCATTATTTCATGTGACCGGTCAGACCGGGCTCTGGTAGCCGGTCGGACCGGCGGTATGCGCGCGGTCAGACCGGCTAGCCCGCGGTATGACCGGCCGACACTGTGTCTGTTTCGGTTCGGGTTGTTTGTTTGGATATCCGTGATTATTTCATGATTATGACTTCTAGATGGATACTATACTATGTAATACTGTTGTTTGCTACTAATGAGTCAAGTTGGAGATAGCTTGGTCTCGGAATATAGTTTCTTTGTTTGTTCCATGTGTAGGTGACTCGATGTCTCGGGAGAGTATTTGCGGTGATGGATCGGGAGTCGGCTTAGGGATGAGGCGACGTCCGTGGTGGTTAGAGATCATGCGGGATACTTAGGCTAGAGTTGATGCACGTGGTTAATGGAGATTCCATATGGCATACGATGGAGTTATTGTGTGCATATGGGATGCGGAGTCAAATTTGGAAGGAGTCCAAATTTGGTACGATTGGTTATGTAAAGTTTCTTTCTTGTACTAGAGGGTTTCCTAAGGTGTTTAGGACTCTTAGTATGAGTTTGGTTCGTGGCTTTAGGCTGCCTACCTCATGTATAAATAGAGGGGGAGCGTGAGGCTTCCCGGTATCGCTTTTGAGAGCAATTGAGTTGAGTTTTGAGTTAGGGTTTCGAGTTTAGTCGAAATTTTTATAAGGAGTGCTGTTGGTGTACTTTGTAAACACAGAGAGAAACAATAAAGTTGTCATCTACTGTAAGAGTTCTTCGATTTGTGTTTCACCGGGTTTCGGCAGTCTAACCGGTGGCACACCGACGGTCAGACCGGTGGCATCACGGTGGTCAGACCGGCGGGGTACACGACGGTCAGACCGGTGTCGGTGACAGGCGTCAGGAGCAGATCTCGGAGGTCAGACCGGAGATTCAACACCGGTCAGACCGGCTAATCTACTCCGGTCAGACCGATCTCATCGAAATTAAGGGTAACTTTTATTTCCGCTAAAAGTTTTCGGTTTTTGGGTATATCAACCATTCACCCCCCCCTCTGGTTGGCTTAGTTCTTTCGATTCGATCCTACAGTTCCATAATATAAAGCATACATACAAGCATGCAATTAACTATGACATCTTTTCTATTAAATTATTACTTTTTTTAAATCCTCCACCCTCATGTTATCTAATCCTATTGGATGCACGCATTAGTATTTATTAGGATGATCCAAACTACAAGATAATAATAATTATTTCTTGGTCTTTGGATTAAGGGTGGTTGTGCCTTATATTTTGGAATGGATGGAGTATAAACCTTTTATATATAACTTTTCTAAAAAATAAATAAATCTATTTTCAAGCATGTAATAGTTAATGTTTAATTAATCATGTTTATCTCGGTTGCGCGCTATTAAAAAGTTCACACAACTTCTCATTCGAACGCAGCCTGACGCCCAGCTTCAGTTAGATCATGTCAGGTTAATTAGTATACTTTGATTAATTGATTAATTGTTGGTTGGTTAGGCTGCAGGCATATCAGGATTCCATGGGTTTATCGAGATGATTAAAAGAGTCAATATATTTTAGTCAATTACTGACAGATCGAAGACGACGTACGGTTTACTCAAATATACAGGTGTATTATGTATGTGTGTATTGGCCTGACGTATATTATTCGTTGTACAAAAAACAATGTGTATATACTCCGTATTCGTGAGGAGTGACAAACAACACGGCACGCAAGGCTCTTAATTATACAAAGTTCATTAATTATGAATAGAATCCTTGCGTTCCAACTCCTTGCTATAGGTTATGATTAAGGACATGTTTATTACGGCAATTTTTTTTAAAAAAAATAATATGATACTACTATATGTTACATAGGAAGTTCTTGTCATAACTCAAACTTTATAGTTGTGTGCATTCTAAATGCAAAGATGGGGATGTAATCATCTCCCTTATCTAGAAAAAAAATTAGATGTGACAACTGACCAATTAAAACTTAAACTAGAATGTGTCTGCAACAGGGAGGTATGTCTAACTTCAAATCTTGATTATGGTTGTCATAAGTATTATGGTAGATTTGTAAATTGGATGAGAATGCAGCTGGAAACAGAATGCTATATAATTCATTGATATCTTTGCAAATTGAATTAAAATTAGGGTCAAGTTAGACAACTTTTTCTTGTAAAGATGCCATGAAAGTGTATAGTGATCTATAGTGCTAAGTGTATAGTGATCTATAGTGCTACATCTTCTTTCTCAGACAGTCATGATCGGCCAGCATCATCATAGGTAGGACGGCTACCTTTACAAGATAGATACATAAAATACATTTTTACAAATATAATAAAATTGCAGGAAAGGGGGAGACTCATAATGATATGAGCTAGCTCAAAAGATGTCCTTGGATTCTAGAGTAGCATGCATACCAATCACTGAACCCTCCCTTTACAGTTTTTTTTTTTTCAAAATGTAAATTGTGCCTGTGAAATTTGATTACTGGTTCCCTCTTTACTCCTGATTTATAATCACAGCTCTTGTTGATTTATATGAGCATAAACTCATGTTTCACAAAGATGTATATCGAAGATACTTGTCAGTTTAAAATTCGATTAAACTATTTTTTAAAACATAACAGTGTAGCACAAACGTGCTCGGTAGATTTATAAGTAAAAATACTTTACTAATACCCTACATTTGGAGGTGCATGCTTTTGTGCTGATTAAAAGCAACAATCAAAATTAGATTAATCATAGTCAATATGCTAACTGGGGGAGTACATATCATGGTTGTTTTCTTTGATCAACGAACCATCCCCTTAATTTCATAGTCTCTGTGATCCCGACCAAATTTCGACTTAAGAAATGGAGGTAGCAGCAGCAGTAGTAGATGGCCACCTAGAGCTAATTAAGCTCCAATAGTGATCTAATTAGGCGGATGGTTATCATATATTAATTAGGCAGGAGGTGTATTTGTTTTTGTTGCCTGCTGGCAGTGAGGCAGAGTGGGTTCCATGCTCCGACCATGACAGTCTGTCCCAGACCCCCAATCATTTGCTTTCATTTTGTTTTGTTTTGCTTTCTTCAAGGTCATCAATATTCTCAACAGTTTTAGAGATTTTTGTATGCTCAACTTTGTGGATCATGCATACACGCAATTTTTGTTACCAAACCACCAGATATGTATGATTTGATTCTGTGATGGAGTATTTGTGTAGATTTGGCTTTTGGAGTGCATCCAATCAAATACAATGTGGTTTGGCACTAGTTCATGGATTTGGGACATGTGGTTAACCTTGCATATTTTTTAATTAAGATATCTATTTGCAACTTAAATATGACAAATGATCATATTATTGCACACAATGATATAACAAACTTGGCTTTTATTGGGAAATAAAATAGCAATGAAAAAGTGCAAAGGAGAGAGTTGCCAATTTTTAATATGATGGACATTACGTTACGAACAACCATACCTATTTTCACATTAGTATGATAACATGCTGCATTATTCTGCTACGCCAACATGAAAGATCATCCTTAAATAAGAGAAAAATAACATGGAAGATTTGTCTTGACTATATGCTTTTATTTACTTAATGAAATATCTATATCTTGAAAACTATCTGCCAAGTTCTTTTTTAAGGTTTAGCTCCTATCAAAGGTTTCATCTCGCCGATAGCCTATCTTAGGAACCAGTTTTAATGACACTGCAATATTCAGGGCACATTCTATTTCATACCGGTTGAACTCTATGTCAACATGTAACAACTATATTCATATATCATACAGACGTGAAAGAATTACACGTTATTATATTAGAGAAAATAAAGTTTTAGTTATATAACACAACGGTCAGAAAGGCCATTGTCGAAGGACATGGGAAATAAACTGCTAAGTTAAAAACTACGAAAAAGAAGTTGCTCCCAGAGTTTCATATATCATACAGTGATACAATAACACTATTTCAACATCAAGAACTCACAGTATGACATAATCCAGGGTATATTCATATTTCACAATTCTACTTACTGTCACCACACAAATAAATTTTACAGCCAACCACAGCAAATTTATTTACAAGACCAAAAATTTCCCCACCACAAAATTCAGTAATACACTACTACTAGTACAAAGGTAAAAATGACCATGAAATGAAAAAAAAAACAAAAATCAGAGAGATGGGCCCCACACGAGATGAGATTGGCGCCACGGGACCGGAACCTTTCAACGGTCAAACAGACAAGTTAATTACTTAAAACAATTAATAATCAATTAATTAATTAATTAATTAATTAATACTAAGAGTAAACATAAAAATTTCCCTTTTTTTTATTTTTTCTGTGTCGCAATCTCTTCTTCCTCCTGTGTATTATAGAAGGCAGCGAAGCTCCTCCTTCCTCTCTCCCTCCGAATCCTCCCCCGCATTCCGCGCCGGAGCTGAGGAGGGACAGCGAGCCAGCGAGGGAGGTGGGGCAATCCAGCGAGCGCCAGATCGTGCCGCCAGCCCCGCTCCGTCCTCTCTCCGGCGACCCTCCGCCCCGCCTGATCCCGTGGTAAATCCCTCTCGCCTCTGTTTCTTGGATCCCGTGGTTCTTCTCTCTGCTTGTTCTTGCCCGATTCGACGGTTGACGCGGCCGTGGTTGCTCTTGGATCGTGGCTTGGTTGGATTTTTCTTTTTCAAGGGGTGGAAGGGAAAGCTGGTTCTTTTTTTTTCCTTCTTTTTCTTTTTTTTTTTTGGTGTGTGTGTTCGTTTGTTCTTGTGATTTTCTTGGGGGTGGGGAAGATGGTGGCGGTTTCCGAGGTCGGATCGGATACTTGTTCGTCCTGCTGATTTTGCATTTTGATCGGTGATTCTGGTGGCTTTCTTCTATTTGGATGATGCGTGTGATTGGAGGGAGATGAGTTGATGGGGGAAAGATGGTTTAGTTTGGTTGATGCAAAATTTGGTGGTCTCTGGATCGGTGAAATGTTCCCTTCTCTTGGCTGTTATGGATAGCAAGCATGGGTGGATGAACTGGTTGATTCTTGAAAGCTACCGCCTCGGGATAATCTCCCAATGATCGTGGTTGAAAATATCATGATAAACGGGGGGTAATTGGTACAGATTAGCATTCTAATATCTTCAGATTCTGTGTTTCGATTGAGCTAGAAAAGTAACACTCCAGTTTTGATAACAACTCGGCATCCATCATGGATTCCCAAAGTTTCATTTCTTCTTTTTTTTTCTTTTCCTGTACCTTCAAGCCTACCTGCCAATTGCCAACACAAACTGTCTGTGAATGTGCTTCTGGCACCTAATCTCATCACATCTTTCTTAAGTAAAAACACTGTTGTGACTTTGACTTACCATTATTATGCTGTTGTTTGCAGGTGGATCAACTACAACTCATCTTTAGGAAAGCCTCTTGAACATTAGCCTTGTGTGCCTTTCAACAGTATGGCCTCGGTAGGTGTGGTGCGTTCTTCCTTGGGGTTTCAGAACGAAACAAGTACAAGTGGCGATGCCGACCGACTTCCGAATGAGATGAGCAATATGAGTATAAGGGATGATAATAAGGTATTATGCCTAAGAGTGGTGGATCATAGTTGCCTTTTGCTGTATTGTCAGTTGCTGATTTGATTCACAAACGTCGCAGGACATTGACGACATAGTTGTCAATGGCAATGGGACAGAACCTGGTCATGTTATTGTGACAAGCATTGATGGAAGAAATGGACAGGCTAAACAGGTACTGTTCACAAAACAAGCACAAGTGATATTATGCTGATCCTTTTGTGTCCATTTAGTGTTGCCTGGGAACACAATAAGTTTTTGTTCACTGAATTATCTATCTACATTGCAGACCATTAGCTACATGGCCGAGCGTGTCGTAGGTCATGGATCCTTTGGAACTGTTTTCCAGGTTTGTCTTTAGACAGATCGATTTATGTTGCACTTGTTCAGTGTGTTAATTTGTGTGTTCTGGTGGCGATTGATGAACCCTTCATTTCTTGAATGATCTTGTATAGGCCAAGTGCCTGGAAACCGGTGAGACTGTGGCTATAAAGAAGGTTCTTCAAGACAAGAGATATAAGAACCGTGAGCTGCAAACAATGCGAGTTCTTGACCACCCAAATGTGGTGTCACTAAAGCATTGTTTTTTCTCAAAGACTGAGAAGGAGGAGCTTTACCTCAATTTGGTGCTTGAGTATGTGCCAGAGACTGCTCACCGTGTAATTAAACATTACAACAAGATGAACCAACGCATGCCATTGATATATGCAAAACTATACATGTATCAGGTAACGTTACACACCTAGATCTTCTAATCTATCCTAGCACAATTATGCATTGAGTATAACATGGAAAACCTATTATAATTGACAGATATGCAGAGCTTTGGCGTACATTCACAACACCATTGGCGTGTGTCACAGGGATATCAAGCCACAAAATCTTCTGGTATGTTACATACTTGCATTTAGTTATAATCTGTTTTCCACTTATTGAAGCTTTGTGGAGTTAGTCAAGTACTAAGTTTTGTTTAGTCAGATGGTTGCTAAAAGATTATTACTTCCAGGTGAACCCACATACTCATCAGCTGAAATTATGTGACTTCGGCAGCGCGAAAGTCTTGGTATGATCACTCATTACCAGATACTCACACGAACATTGCCATTGTCTGTTGTACCTAATCTTTTGTTCTATTATTATAGGTAAAAGGAGAACCAAATATTTCTTACATCTGTTCAAGGTACTACAGAGCTCCAGAGCTCATATTTGGTGCTACTGAATACACAACAGCGATTGATGTTTGGTCTGCCGGTTGTGTGCTTGCTGAACTCCTCCTGGGGCAGGTAAGAGATCACATTATTTACATGAGGCTTTTGGACCATCCAGCTCATTGCAACTGTCTGCCTAAGCTTTATCCTTTTTTTGTTTTAAAAGCCTCTATTCCCTGGCGACAGTGGCGTTGATCAGCTTGTTGAAATCATCAAGGTAAATTATATCTTGCTTCCATCGAAATCACTCCCTTTTTGTTGTTTACCTCCTACTTAACTGACTATTCTCTCAGGTTCTGGGTACCCCTACACGAGAGGAGATTAAGTGCATGAACCCAAATTACACCGAGTTTAAATTTCCGCAAATCAAAGCTCACCCATGGCACAAGGTAGAAGAAAATAATCTTATGTTGGACTGTTTATTTTTTATTTTAGGGTTGAAACCTAATGTAGCTTTCCTTTTTTTTTACCACCAGATCTTCCATAAAAGAATGCCTGCTGAAGCAGTCGATCTCGTCTCCAGGCTTTTGCAGTATTCACCATACCTCCGGTCCACTGCTGTGAGTGTTGTCGTTGCACTATTTGAGCCAACACCATTTTTTAGAGAAAGTTTTAGTTCTTGGCATCACTATTGTGTTACATTTTTCTAATTACTTCATCATACAAACATGCACTGCCTTGCCAAGTACTAGTAGTTACAGATTGTGCATTTCTTTATTTGCCATTACAGTCGGAAGCATTGATCCATCCCTTCTTCGATGAACTCCGTGATCCAAACACCCGCTTACCGAACGGCCGTTTCCTTCCTCCTCTCTTCAACTTCAAGCCCCATGGTAAGCTTGCAACACCGGCTGACATATGACATGCGTAGACGAAAATTTCTGAACCACCGATCAACTTATAATTATCTACTAATCTGGCCGATTTGAACAGAACTGAAGGGTATGCCAATGGAATTCCTGGTGAAGCTTATCCCCGAACATGCTCGAAAGCAATGCGCGTTTGTAGGATGGTGATTTCTGAGGTCAGCATGAAAACTAGTTCAGAATTTCTTCACCGTCCTCCATTAGAAAGCAGAGATGAACCCTGTGTGCAGCCATTTGGGAAAGCTGGTGCATATGGAAGTGGAACTACATTTTTTTGTCCGAGATTCTGACGCCGCGTATTCTTTTCCCCCCTCCCACTTTGCTGCTGCCGGTGTAACCAAAAAATCATCCACGGTTCTGTAAAGTTGATGAAGAAGAGTGTAAAATCAGGTTGAAAACTGAATTCGATCGGTTTGTCAAGATTGTAGCAACATGCAAGGAAGGATGTTGCACACTTTGTATGGCAATGTTCGTTCGGTCCAAATATTTGGACATGGATCGAGAGGCTATTCATTTAATTGTACTTGCTGCTACATGTTCTTACATATCAGTAATCTTCTGAGAAGCTTGTGAAAGAAAGCAAGTAGGTGATGTGTTGCTGTCTATGCACCAGTATCAGCAAAGGTATGATGAATCTTTGCTACTATGAACAAACTTTTGCCAGGACAACACAAGTACAGCATGCAAACTGATCAATCTGTGATATTGTGCAAGGATGGAGAAGCAATTTCAATTGTAACTGAGCATTTAGAAGCTGAAAAACGAATGTAATTTTGCTGTAAGGTTACCCAGCAAACTGATCGCTTAGTCCCAATCTACTGAGCGATTACAACCAGGCAAACATAAAACAACTCTAGAAGCAGCATAGAAAGCAATTATAATCAAAGAATGGAGCATAATGCTACGAATACCAGGAACATGAAAGGGTAATTAATGCAATGTAACGAATGCTAACAGCCATCGCAATGTTTCTGCGGAGATCAACATAACATTTAAAGTTGTCTGAGAGCAACTGCTCCATGACACATCACCTACAGATCCACATGATGCTATGCTAATGCTACACCATCCTACAAGGCCAGACAAGTCAATTTGATGGAGAGCGATGTCGATGTCGAGCAGATTCATGCGCCCTCACCTGGAGCCGACCCATTATATGCTTCACTCTTTGAACAACACGAACATACTCAAAAAACTGGTTGGAATCCATGCCCATGGATGAGTTTACTGTTGTACCACCTTTACAGGAACTGAAGTTTCCACCAATAATTATGTCAAAACCACCAAATTCTTTCACCAGGTCCTCAAGTACATTAATCTTCAGCTTCCAAATGGTATTTATCTGCCTCAGTTGCCCCTTTTGTTCAGTATTACTCCACCACCTTCTCAAAATTTTCCTGTTCGTATCAGATTGGTCAACAGATACTACACACTGTAGTGGTATCCCTAGGCGATGGAGGGCAATTGCTGCACCTCCAATTCCACTGTAGATTGATAGCACCCTTAGCCCATCTGGATACAGGTCCTTCAGGACTGACAAAAGATAGCCGAGTGTGTCAGTCTGGAAACTGTACCTCATGGCTTCTATTCTATCTTGTGGATTCAGGCCAAACAGGTTTGTGTGTTTCCGTGGGTAGCCAAGTATCCGTTCCACTTGTTGTGGATCCAAAGGACTTAACCTATCTGGGCCAACCCAGATGAGGTTAGCCAGCTTGCACTGGTGCATGATGTGCGTTTTCTTTTCTTGTGAAAGATAACCTCCTGAGTCTCTTACCATCTTTCCCAGTCTCTCACACAGCTGCTCTATTCCTGCAACTTCTGTAGCAACACTGTTAAGTTGTTTTCTTGTGTCCCACGATGGCCAGCACTGCCTTGTGAATGGGAATGCTTCTTCGATAGTCATTGGTGACCTAGGAACCAGGTTACGCCTTCCCTCTGTTGGAAGGTTATGAATGTAACCCTCCTTTCGTGAGAGAGCCGAGAAAAACTGGCTATTTACAAACTCTGGCTCCACATTATATAAGAACTCTGACAGCTGACGCCATGTAGCTTTGGGAATTTCTACAACATTTCCATATAAGAAATATGGGGGATTGGCGACATCACTGCGAACATTTCTACGGATGCCTGGTGTCATTGCATCAAATTCTTCCTTGACAGACCCATCACTAGTTGTGGCACGGTGATCCTTAAGCCATGGATCTAAGTTAGGTTGATTTCCAGCACGACTACTGGAACCCGCACTGTCATCTATAAACATATGCTTAGCCCTTTTAATCCTTATGTTGTCATGGTCGTCATCATAGTACCTTAGACCAGAATTTGAGGGATGGTATGCTGAATAGCTGGTTTCTGTCTCATCTAGAAAGTCAGGCTCAACTTTCACCTGTGCACAAGAATGCAAATGCAGACAAATTAGAAATCATAACAGTTGTGACTTGTGTATAACAATATGCTGTACAGCCATATGAGCAGCATTTAAAGAAAAACATTGGTTTGCTGAGAACGGTATAAGTGTTTGGTTAGAGGGATATTTTGTAATTCAAGCAAATTGTTTATATAAAAAGGTTCCTACTAATCTGCTGTGCGCTCTGCACAGTTGTCATGGACAATGCTACCAAGCAACAGATGACTGTAAATTCACAATACAAGCTTATAGCTGTAAGAATAAAATGTTGACGAAATTACCTCTTTCTGCTCAATGCTACTGGCAATTCTACGTGCAAAAATGGTGTCAGCCAGCTCCAAAACTGTTGCTTCTGGACCTGAAAAGGTAGGAACAAGGAAATATGGCATTAAGTTTGCTAGAGGTAGGAACTCATTAAAACAGTATATTCTAGTACATACAACATAGAAACTGGTAACTAATGAGAGAATGGAATATTGATATAGAAAATAATCAAATGTATTACAAGGAAGATTGAAATTTTTAATACCAAAAATTTGGGGGCTAAAACTATAACTACAATGTGAAATATGAATTCCCTTTTACCACTTGCATGCAACGTTTTATCCATGTACATGAGTGAGGCACCTGCGGATGCCATGTGCGTGCAATCAGATGCTCTGGATGAGACATGAGATTGAATTTACAGTCCTTTTAGCTTAAAATGGCATATATGTATCCATGGGGAGCCACCTTATGTACAAAGCAGGCATGAATCATACATAGAAAGTCTGAAAGGTTCGTCCTTGACAAAATCTATGAGCAAGGTTAGGATTCGGTAAAATAAGTAAAATTAAGTATACTGTTAACATGAATAAAAACACCCTTTGTTACAAATATTTGTCAGAACTGATCGTTTCAATCGTTCATATATTTTGTTACTCATGCTTTTCCAAAGCATATTTTTCATAACTTTTTCCTTGTTAATTTCCTTTTTGCATGCTCCCCAATCATCTATTTGATGCGACAAAGATTTATCGATCTAGTCCAATTGAATAAAACCAAAAGATTGCTTGGAAAAGCTTTGCAATGGTAAAGGTTCAAGAATGACAAGTGTTTGTTGACAGGTACAGTATTATCAGAGATCAGGTGCCAATGTACTGGTGCATGCTGTGGTATTAGATTTTAAGGATTTCACTTTGTGAAACTCCCTCTAGTCACATTTATTTGATGCTGGGAGTACTAAACTTAGTACACCCAGCGTCAAATAAATTTGACCGGAGAGAGTACTTCACCATATGCTGTGGACTGTGGTCATGAAGCTCACAGATCTGAGTAATTTTTTAAAGCATTTTTATTTTCACTTACCAGCTTTGTCAATGACAGATGACACTTCTTCCTCCGTAAAACCCATCTGGAGTAAATGTAGTGTTTTATCCATTACTCCAAACAGTGATTCATCCTTTACCTGAAACAAATGTGATTTTAAATATACAGTTCTGTTGTTGCTCATTTGTAGCCAATTACAAATATCATTTATCAAAATTAGTGTTAAAGAAAGAACACAAAAATATCATAAACATGATTGATAACCATGATACAGATCCCATCTATCAAAAATAGAATGTCAAAGAAAGAACACATATAACTATAAGCATGACTGAAGAAAAACATGATGCATGCTCCAGGCTAAGTATAGTTCATGTCATTGTAGTATCAAAAGGAATTAAACATCTATACTGCAGACTGTAGTAAGAAGTTTCTAGGGTACACAATAGGAGACCTACAAAGCATGGCTGACAAGACAATGTGAGTACCAACAAGCACAAAATAATGTGATCCTGTGGTTTACATGTTGTTACATTATCGACTACCAAGTAAAAACACAGAATTAAAAGGAGAATTCTCAATTGTCGTTGATGCGAAATATAAGTAGAAAATTTGGCTGCGATTTCATAGCTGGGATAGTATGAAGCAGAATGTCCAAGTGACAATCTGGTATGAACAAGGATATTCTGTAACTGGACGCAACACATAATAAACTAGAGAGATTTGGAGCACCAATTTTTGTGATTGGATAAGTACGGAATAGACTCTGGAACAACTTTTCCAGAGTTGGATAATGTACAATGTTCTACTAGTCTCATAGCAGTAACACCAGTTCACTGAATAATGAGTCTTTCACAAAGCTACATATTATTAAAAGTTATTAAGTGTGTTTTACATTTAATGTCAAAAAGAAAAGTGTGTTTTACATTTCATAAAGGAGTAAAGATTCTTGGAGCAGCGAGCTCAATATTTACTTCATGTACTCAGACAATGTTAGTCAGATGTAAGAAACAGAAAACAAAAGAACTGGCGAAAACCTCATTTGAAGCATCTCCATTTTCGTTTCCTCCAGAGCAACCTGACACTTGACCAGTAACAATGAAATCTACAAGCTGTTCCAATGATGCTTCCTCACCTGAAACCAAGCAGGTCTGGAAGTTTACAGTATGCTGGATATGACAAAGAATAGAATGACTATCAAACAGATCTAAAATGTGTCCTGAACACATTCTTGTTCAACAGTGTCTTAAAAATTGTGTAGTACAATTGGTTGAACTGATATCAACACCAAAAAAAAAAAGAAAAGGCAACAGTACAAGATCTAGACAATTAAAAAGATAAATTGCTAATTGCACAAGTCAATGCAGCATCACCTACCTAGCTGGTTGAGTGCCAAATCAACTTCTCGCTGCGAGAAGTTCATTGTACTCAGTAGATATGATCTCTTTTCTGAGGATGAATCAGCTTCAACCTAAAAATAGAAATGTTGTGCAGATTGGTCTAAGGAGTTCAAAATGAATAGTACCATGATTAACATTTTGAACCAGAACATCACCTTAATGTCTTGGATAACTTCTTTCCTAGGCGCAAAATGAGAACTATTTTCTTCATTATCAGAATCAAAGAGATCTCCCAATGAACCTGATTCAGACCCAGATTTTTGAAGAGCCTATAACATATGAAAATTGAAAAATAAATTCAAGTATTGTGAATTCCACAACTCATTACAACACAATTATTGACTACTGTAGCAATGCCAACAAAATTAGATGGAAACTAAAATTCCTGATACCAAATTGAATATCAGTCATTTAAGTAAACATCAATCCAACTACATGAAGGTGTACTTAAGATAAAATTACACTAGCAACATTAAAGTAAATGGAGGATCATAATGGGAGCTTTAATGGTAAACTATTCGAGTCATAAAACAATAACACAGAAAAATATAAATAGGTAACATCAAGGTTAGGAGAGGAAACCATTTCCTAAAGAAAGAAAACCAGAATATTGAGATTAACGGGACAAATGTTGACATGCAGCTGGGGAATCACTTACAGACTGTGACAAAAGAGCCTCCAGTATAGTATCTGAATCTCTGTCACCTGCATGAGAGAGATAAATGTAATCAGTTCGTAAACTCTAAGGTGTATAAAATGTTTGGATTTAACTGTGTTTTAACTGGTGCAAAAGTTTTATATCACTACATGCATTTGAAAAGGCATGTCATAGGATATTACCGTGTTTCTGAAGCACCCTGTCAACCAACATTGGTGAAAACCCCATGCCAATAAATTGTGATCTTACATGACTGGAGGAAGAGCTTGGCTGTCCTTCCTACAATATATGTGAAGAACATTTTGTTGGTATCACAACTTTATTAAAAGGAACCCCCGCAAAAATAAATAAAATAAAATATTAAAAGGAACCAAAGGAAAAGTTAACATGTCAAAAGGAGTATTAACTATTTAAAGTTGTGGACCTCTGGTTGTTAGCAATATACCTATGGTTAGGTCAACACCCAGTTACTTTCAAATACTTAACACCATCAATCAACTGCATCTTAGATGTACTACTGTCAATATAGATTACATCCAAAACAAACGTCAAGTCTATTAAAATTGGTTGTATTTGTAAGTCATCCTGATTTGGTGTTTGGCAGATGTGTTCGCCTCAAATCAAAGCACAATACCAAAAAAAGAGGCTCAGTTAGAAAGTAGCTCACAGGGTAGGGGAGAGGGGGGGTGCAATCTAGAATTATATTGAATTTGGGTCTAGTGCCCAAAGACACAGATGATTCTATTGTTGTTTCAAGAAATAACTTCTTGGTACAATGCAAACAACTCAGGTGCATATAGCGATTAGCAACTGGAAGCCTGTGCACAAAATTATAGCTTTGCTTTCCACTTCAAGCACGACATAACAGACAGCACATTGCCGCCATAATAAAACCACACTCTACAAGTGGTAAATGAGAAGCGCTCAACCCGCCTGGCCCTAAAATAATAACTGCCCAAATTTCCCGCGTAATTGCCATTACTCATTAATCGTATTTGACATGGAGACTTTGTTTTAACCTCAACTATAATAATATGGACCCCACACCACAGTCAACAGCATAGATACTTTTTTTTTCTGTGAATAACATGATAACTTCTAGGCATGGAAAGCAAAATACGGTGACTCCTTTTCACCCTTGTTTTAATAATGTAATATACATAATCGATTCATCCAAATAGTTTAGCATGCCATGCAAAACACTACTCCAAGCAAAGATTAATACACCAGAAGGTTTGGAAGCAAAATCACCACCTCCTCCTTAACAGTAGCACGCAGCAGGGCAGGCTGTGGATTGACAGCAGCATCCCTGAGATCACCAACAGAAGCGTTGATGCCACTGCCCTCCACATCATCTTCTACTTTAACCTTTGTGTACCAATAAAAGCCAGCATATAGTGAGAGACGGAACAAAATCAAAAAACACAAAATAATAGAGAGAGCTAAATAATAGAGGGAGCACAGATGCCCTCCATTACCATCTCGATCAAGTATCAACTCCGCTTCCAAAATCGCATGCCCCTGCAAGAAACAAAGACGATAGCGCGATGAGTATCTTATAGCAGCATAAACTTGGATTTCCATCCCCCACAGGTTTGGATCAACTCAAGGGTGCGATTAAACCCATAGAAATGGAGACAAAAAAAACACAACCCAAGAAGGGTGCCCCATATTGCGTAATGGTAAAAATCCTATCTATCTCAACATATAATGGAAGAAGATCCCAACAAAAAGTTTGGATTCCCATACCACACATAGTCTGAATCCACCACCTCTCACAGGGCGACTAAACCCATAGAAATGGAGACAACAATACAACCGGAGAGCGGCGCAAACTAAACGCCCGCAATCCTAATCATCCAAAACGATTTAGAGAGGATAAGGAGGCGTTAAACTAAACCCTAATCGGTTGTTCCTCGCATGAGCTAACCATTTCCAGCACCCAAAAAAAAAAGGCAAAAATGGCCACACCACATAGTTTGGAAGAAGATCCCAACAGAAGTTTGGATTCCCATACCACATAGTTTGAAACTTTGAATCATCTCACATGGCAACTAAACCCATAGAAATGGAGACACCACTACAACTGGAGAGGAGCGCAAACAAAACGGCTACAATCCTAATCATCTAAATCGATTTCAAGAGGATAATGAGGCCTTAAACTAAACCCTAATCGGTTGTTCCTCGCATGAGCTAACCATTTCCAGCACCCAAAAAAAAAAAGCAAAAATCGCCATACCACAAAGTTTGGAAGAAGATCCCAACAGAAGTTTGGATTCCCATACCACATAGCTTGAAACTTTGAATCATCTCTCACATGGCGACTAAACCCATAGAAATGGAGACAACACTACAACCGGAGAGGAGCGCAAACAAAACGGCCACAATCCTAATAATCTAAATCGATTTCGAGAGGATAAGGATTCGTTAAACTAAACCCTAATCGGTTGTTCCTCGCATGAGCTAACCATTTCCATCCCAAAAAATTTATAAAAAAAACAAAAAACAAAAATCGCGAGAAAACCCATGGGCGGTAGGGGATCGAGCAATCCGAGTAGAGAAATCGCGAGCGGAACAAGCAAGGAAGAGAGGGCAAGATGAAATGGTTGTTCCTCGCATTTCGAGAGGATAGCGAGGCGTTAAACTAAACCCTAATCGGTTGTTCCTCGCATGAGCTAACCATTTCCATCCCCAAAAAATTAAAAAAAAAAATCGCGAGAAAACCCATGGGCGGTAGGGGATCGAGCAATCCGAGTAGAGAAATCGCGGGCTGGACAACGAGGAGGAGAGGGGGAAGACGAACGAACCTGTAGGAGGAAGGGGGAGGGGGAGCAGCAATGGAGGAGGAGGAGGAGGAAGACGCGTCTCCCCGCTCGGCTCAGGTTGGCGGCGGAAGGGGGGCGGCGCGGTGTATATATATAGAGGCGAACATGGCCAGTGACAGGTGGGGCCCACCCCGCCTCGGCGTCGACGGCGGCTGGCCTGAAATGGTAACAATGGAGAAACCCCCACTCCCGCTCGCCGCTCGCGGCAGCGGCTTCCCTTCTTCCTTCCCACACTGCTGCTCTGCTGCTGCGTTGGCGCGGGGGACGGAGGTCGGACGGACTCGGCGACGGCGGCGGCCGCGCGCTCCGATCCCCTCCCGCTCGACGGCGGCGGCGGGGAGGCGCGCGGCGCGCCTCCGGGTTTGGTTCGAAGTGGAGATGGGGACCGGGCGATTCCAAAAGGGGGAAGATGCGCACATTGACTGTACAGGACAAGACTGACTTATACAGATTTTATCACGGTTTTTGTTAGCGTGTTTTTTAAGCTACGAGAACACTTCGATTTGGAGAGGAAAAACATATAAACTAGAAGATACCCCGCGCGTTGATTAGGGATATGAGTATAAAAAGTAATACCGAACTATGTAATTTTGAAAAGGGTGATAATATGAACAAACACATTCTGAAAATATGGGAAATCTCTTATATGTTTTTGTAATCGAGGAGTACTGATATTATAGAATTGTAGTAGAGATAATGCTATAGCTGCAAGATGGAGAACAGAATGGGACCCTAATAAAATATAGCAGGTCTTATGCATATGACATAATGAAGTCTTCATATGGAAGGAAAATATAATAAGTCTTCCGCATAGTGAAATCACCGTAGGTCAGACAGCATGTGTTCACCTGTATTTTGTGTTGGAGAATATATTAGTAGTACAACAGGGATGTGCTTGTAAGATAATAGAGTAAATCGTTAGGAATGTGAAGAATAAGTACCAATTTTATTATGTAGATTGGTCAGGCAGATTGGTATGCAATGCAGTTTGTAGCTCTATGTTGTTTGGAGTGGTTCATAAGATATTGCAGTTAGTGTTAAAGGCAAAAGTATTGCAAATCATGAGTGGATTTATCTATCACAAAAATCAATATAAAAATAATGAAATGTGTGGTGTTATAAAATAATGTATACCCTTTGGTTCCCTCAATGGAGTCTTCAGGAAAATCAGCCTTTCCCTCTGTATGCTGTAGTTTTTTGTTGCATGAAATAGTTCCAAAAATATTGTAGTCAGTATTATAGTTGAGTTATGTTATTCTATGTATTTTCCAAAGTAGTACATGCCCTTCTTTGTAATGTTTGAGAACAGGGAGATCTAGTTTTTTGGTAGTGTAAAAGGAAAAATGTTCCAAGGTTGGTTGTGAGTTGATATTTGTTAATCAGAAAAGGCAATATAAATGGGGTTATAAAATATACCTTCTGGTTTCCTCAATGGAGTCTTTAGTGAAATCAATGGCTCTTTTTGTAGTTGAGCTGCAGTAATGGATAATAATCATATGAATGATTTTATTAAGCATAATTTTTTTTGTATATTTACCTGGTTTTTTCAGTTGGAGTTTTATCAGCCAAAGATATTTCAGGAGGTGTACTTTTGCTTGATGCTCCTGTATTATGAATAGTTGTGCTGAAATTTATTTGGCATCAGCAGTTAGTACTATATATCCAATGTGATGTAGAGGCTGGGTTTTAATGAAAATCCTTTATCTAAAAAAAATTATGGTGTTGTACAAATGTAATGAATAGAACATTTGATAGAATAACAAACCTTGGGTTATCTGTATGTGGTGCAGGTGGTGGAAGCTGTAGTACCTCTTTGTTCTTCAAAGGCTTGATTAGTTTTATATTTTAATTTAATTAGTTTGAAATATTTGAAGTAATATGGAATAGGATATCTGAAGTAATATGGAACAGTAGTATTTACTAACCTCTCCATCTGTGAGCATAGGGACCGACATAGTAGGCTCAATTGTGAAACTCTTCTTAAGCACATAGCTGATAGGGAACTTAGAAGATGTATCAGTATTCATCCCTATAGCAAAAATTTTTGTTTTACCAATGGCATTATTGAGTGTTGTTGGATGATCAGCCGGGTCTATCTTCATGTTTTGGGAAGCTTGGGCTGCATCAAGCTCTACCAAATCTTCAGCAACAAAAGAAAATGCTACTGCATCTAAACTCCCTGATTCATCTGTAATCGTGACAGGGAGTTTGTACCTGAAGCATTGTACATTAGTTAGATACATCTAGAGTGGTTAGCATTACAGTAAACTATTTTAGTTCTTCGAATGAATGTATAAGAGTAGGAGATTGTACATTGGTTTGCGGAATGAAACTTCGCAAGCACATCTTGGTGAATCAGAATTGTTGATGTACCCTTTATCACAACGATGGCATCCTATGTAATACCATTTAATTGATGACAGTATGGCAGTTATTTTCGCAGTAGCACTGTATGTAGCTCCACCCTTATGTAATAAAAAGTATTAAATCTTGGCGAAAGGAATCCATGGCATGGTAATAACAATATAGTTTTTTTTTCTTTTGTATTGAGTTGTACCTGAAAGGCTGAAATAGGCATAGCTGATATCTCACTTAAGGTGTACATTTTTCCTGCTGCTTGGATCGGGGTTAAACGTATAACCTTAGGGAGTTGTTGCTCAAGAGTTGGACGTTCCCATTTGTAGCTTCAAATTGCAAAGAGATAGGTTGGCATCTTTTGACGTGAAATATAATACATATTGAACAGGAATATTCAAGTGCAAATGGTTTGAAGGGGTTAAAGAGAATTACCTAGTGCGAAACTCTCTAACTTGAGGTGTGTCCAGGTCAATATATATTTCAGTAGCAGAGCTTGAAGATGCTTTTGTTATAGCTGCAGGTGAAAGTGAAGTTTAAATGTTTTGCATTCTTTGTATGGGAGGGCATTTGTTTGGGTCAAAGAATGAACCTGAAAATTTTCCTGCAGTAAGGCCAGCAAAGATGGCTACTACAATTCCATCCTTTGATTTATGGAGTGTTGCATCTTCGTTGAATGATTCTCCATATTGTCCCCAGAGTAGGACATCTTGAGTCTGTTCCCTACAAAAAATGTTGCATATAAACAATTGCTGAGATTACACAAAAGTAATTAATGAGAGCATTGATTTTAACGATCAGGTTTGGAAAAGGTACGTACTCTAGGTTTTGAATTTTAATTCTCCTGAGTTTTTTGTCTGATGTTGGGCTCGCAAAATCATATGGACCAATATGACTGATTACTCCAATCAAATCTGGAGGAATATTCATTCAAAAAAAATCTAGAGGAATAAGCCAAAAGAATGTGAAGTGTAATAAGTATGATTCAATGTGGAATTAAAGATAGCATTACCTATGAGAGGTTTGGAACTGATACTTTTCCCTAGAACTTCATCAAATGGGCAGAAGTCAAAAAGGAACTTTGGTATGGTTAATCCTCTAGATTCCAGGGGTTGAATTCTTGTGTCATGTTTAAACTAGAGAATATAGTTCTGGCACTGGTAGATATAGGTCTTTCTTTTTGCATCAATGGCAACAGTATTACTAATTAGGTAGACAGATCCTTTATTTAGCAAGGGGCGGAATTGCTTTGCAAACCTTTTTGGCACAGTGATCTGTGCTATTGAGCCCTGAAAAATTATTGTGCAACAATTGATATGGCTAGTATTAAGTATAGCAAAGAAGTAGAATCTAGTATTAATATTTGGTGGAACACATAAGAGAATGACATACAAGTTCATCCAATAGGATGACGTCAATGCTGATGAGGGGATCTGCAGATTTTGATCTCATGTTTATAGCATCCCATAATCTTATTAGACGTCCAAAAACCTTGCAGTTTTGCTGTCCAACAGATATATCTTTTAATGATATAGCTGGGTTAGCCATTGAGGTAAATCTGAAAAAAACATAATAAAGAAAAAATGAAACATAAGTGAATATACGTTGTCGGTGACATGGGGCCGGGGGTATCGTGACTAGAGGCTTGGGTAGCCGCGGTCACCCACGTGGCCTGACCCCCTCGGGGGGGTCGGGCCCGAGGGTGACGTGGCCACCCCTCCCTCTGTCTCCCCGAGGGGTCGGGCCGCTCCCGTTTCGGCCCCGAGGGCTGGGGCGCCCCGACCCCCTGTGGTTTTGGTGCCACGTGTGTGGGTTAGGTGAGCACAGCGGGGCTCACCTAACCGCATTTATAGCAGGTTGGACGAGCGCGCCACGCCGTATTTAATGCGGCGCAGCGCGCGCTTATCCGGTCCGTGACCGGTCGCGGTGTGTGACCGGTCACAGACCGGTCAGATCGCGGGTTAGGTGGCAACAGGCGGCCTGTCACACGCCTTGCCCCGTCCCGTCGGAATGATGAGAGCTTCCTGGCTCTCGTCCCTAGCCGGAGCCGGTGTGCTAACTCCTGGAGTTGGTATGTCAGTCCCGGTCAGATCCATTCCAGGCTTCAGCGCAAGTATGGCAAGGAAGTCGCTGGCCATTAAATGAAGGTTGAAATGGGCGTCCACCGGAAAAGCGGGCGAGCGGGGCAGGAGGCGTGGGCTCTGCTTGTCAGAGGTCACTTCCGGCTGTAGACTAGCCCTCATTGTAAAAAGCATGTTTCCCTTCTTAGGCAGCTAGAGGCCCTTGTGGTGACCCCTGACCAGATAAAAAGGAGGCCCAGGCCTAGGAGGGAGAGAAAAAAAAAGGAGGAAAAAAAAGGGGGAAAAAAAGGGAAGAAAAGAAAAAAGGGAGGAAGGGGGGGTTCTAGAGTCTGAACTCTCTCTCGCTCTCCGGCTCTCGGTATTCCTTCACACACAGATCCACCAGAACACAGGAGTAGGGTGTTACGCTTCTCAGCGGCCCGAACCTGTCTACGTCGCCCGTGTCTTGTGCACTTCTTCTCTCGCTGACGTTCCTCAGATGGAGGGCGAGGAACCTCACTTAGCGCCCCCGGCCGAACCGGCAAAGGGGGGCCTGCGCGGTCTCCCGGTGAGGAGCCCCACGCTCCGTCATCTGGCGCGCCAGGTAGGGGTGCGCGTGTCTTTCTAAGCCCTCGTCCTCTTTCGTGTGCGCCAAGCTTCTCCCGCTCAGCCCAATGGCCGAACGGGCAGTGGCGCACAGCCTCTCTCCGAACGCTAGCGGTGACGACGGGGAGCAGAACCCGCGCCGTCGGGCTCGCACCCCACCGTCCCCCTCTCGCCGAAATCTTGGGCGGGGGGAGGCGCTCGGGGAGGTCGGAGGATCCGCGACTTCGCCGCCCGCGGGCGACGGGGGAGGACGGCGAGATGGGGCGCGTCGCCGCCTCGTCTACGGCGATGGCGGCACGCCCCAGGGCGCGCTCCAGGCTGCAGGCGCGCTCCTGCGTCACCCGCCCGTCGTCCCCGATCCAGAGACTCCAGCCCGACGTTGGCTGGATGACTTGGCCGACTTGGTCATGACGGCGCAGCAGCGCCTAGGCGCCGGCGGGCGGTCCTCCGCCATCGAGGCCTCTAGCGCTGCCGCCGCCGGCTCCATGTCGTCGAGGCGGAGGGCGCGGCGAGCGGCGGCCGTTACCCGTCGTTCGTCCGCCATTCCCTCGTCAACGCCTCCGACCCAAGAAGATGTGCGTGGGGGGCCGGATGCCCGCCTCGATATCGAGCGCCGGCGCGACGCTCGTCGCGCCGCCCACGCAACGGAGGGCACTTCCTCGTCCGGAGCGCCACTTCGGTCCGGGCACGGGGGCCGGCCCCCCGTGTCCCCGGTTGGCGGTGCCGGCTGTCGAGCCTTTGTGGCGAGCCTTCGGAACGTCCGTTGGCCCCCAAGGTTCCGGCCCACCATCACCGAAAAATACGACGGAAGCGTCAACCCCACCGAGTTTCTCCAGATCTACACGACCGGGATCGAGGCCGCCGGGGGTGACGACAGGGTCATGGCGAATTTCTTCCCCATGGCCCTGAAGGGTCAGGCGCGGGGTTGGCTAATGAACTTGCCACCCGCGTCGGTCCACTCTTGGGAGGATTTGTGCCAGCAGTTCACTACGAACTTCCAGGGCATATATCCGTGCCCAGGCGAAGAAGCGGACTTGCATGCGGTACAGCGAAGGGACGATGAGTCTCTTCGCTCGTACATTCAGCGGTTCTGTCAAGTCCGCAACACCATACCGTGCATCCCCGCACACGCGGTGATCTACGCGTTCAGGGGGGGCGTGCGGCACAACCGCATGCTCGAGAAGATCGCCTCCAAGGAGCCCCAGACCACCGCGCAGCTTTTTGAGCTTGCGGACCGTGTGGCTCGCAAGGAGGAGGCCTGGGCCTGGAACTCCTCCGGTTCTGGTGTGGCAACTCCGGCCGCCCCCGGGTCCGCCGCTCGGTCAGGGCGGCGGGACAGGAGGAGGAAGAAGGGGTCGGCCCGTTCCGACGACGAGGGTCATGTCCTCGCCGTCGAGGGCGCTTCGCGGGCCCCCCGAAAGGGGAGGCCTGCGAGCGACAAAAAGAAGGAGGCCGGCGCTCCCAGCAGGGAGCGCCCGACCGGCAAGTGGTGTACCGTGCACAACACCTCCCTCCACGACCTCGCGGACTGCCGCGCGGTCAAAAGTTTGGCTGAGCGGACGAGGAAGTGGGAGGAGGAGAAGAGGCAGGAGCGCCGTGAGGGCAAGACCCCGGCGGCTCCCGCCGGCAACCGACGAGGTGAGGCCAAGCAGAAGGCCACCGCCGAGGACATCGACGATGGCGACGATGACCTGGGGTTCCAGGAGCCTGAGGCCACCATCGCCACCATCGATGGGGGAGCGTGCGCTCACGCTTCTCGCCGGAGCCTCAAGGCCATGAAGCGAGAGCTTCTGGCCGCGGCCCCTACCCATGAGGCGACACGGCGGGCGCGGTGGTCGGAGGTTGCCCTCACCTTCGACCAGACCGACCACCCGCCGTGCGTTGCCCGGGGAGGACAGATCGCGATGGTGGTTTCCCCCACCGTTTGCAATGTGAAGTTGGGGCGTGTCCTCATAGACGGGGGTGCAGCCCTCAACATCCTTTCCCCCGCAGCCTTTGACGCCATCAAGGCCCCGGGGATGGTGCTCCGGCCGTCCCAGCCGATCATCGGTGTGACGCCGGGGCACACCTGGCCGCTAGGTCATATCGACCTCCCGGTCACCTTCGGTGGTTCCGCCAACTTCCGCACGGAGCGGGTGGACTTCGATGTGGCGGACCTCAGTCTGCCCTACAACGCGGTCCTGGGGAGGCCCGCGTTGGTGTCACGTCCTGATAAATTCATCCCGAAATAAAAATCATTCCCTAAAAGGAATAATAGAATTAATTAAAATTCGAAAAGAAATTGGCAAGCACTAAAATGCGTACAAGAAAAATTCGAATGTGGCCCGGAGAATTTTTGTTAAATTCTCCTTGGTCTAAAAGGAGCCCTCAAATTTTACTTGAATTTTCAGAGCACCGGAAATAATTATTAAGCAACAAAAACAATTATCAAAGTTTAATAAAAAGAAAATCTAAAAATAATCCCCCTCCTCCCTTTGGGCCAAGTCTGGCCCAAAACCTCCCTCTCTCTCTCTCTCAGCCCGCGGCAAAAGTCCTCTCTTCCTCCCTCTATTCCTCTCCCTCTCGTCCTCTCCCTCCTTCTCTTGGGCCTCCTCTCCTTCCCCTCGGCCCACTCCCTCCTCCTCCCTCTTTCCCCCAGGCCGCCTCCCCCTCCTCTCCTCCTGGGCCGGCCGCCCGGCCCAAGCCGCGCCCAAGCCAGGCCGAGCCGAGCCAGCCGTGCACACGCGCGCCGCGCGTGCGCTGACCGCGCGCCCGACCGCGTGGGGCCCACGCGCCGGTCGTCTCCCTAGCTCGCTCCCTCCTCCAAATCCGCCTCATTCAAACCGGGGATTCCAAAATTAAGTGGGGGGTTTTAATCCCCATTAATTCCTCTTCAATTCCCCCCAATTTCCCCCTTGAATGGCGCCCCCAATCGTCGGGAACGGACGCGTCTTTCCCGGCCGCCTTCCATGGCCGCCGGCCGTGTTTCCCGTCGCCGTTCCGCCCTCTCCCATGCCCGGCTTGCTTCCCTCCGCTATAAAATGGAACCCCCTCTTTGCGTTCTCTCGTTTTAGCCCCTTCCCGAGCTCCCCCGTGGCCACACCACCTCTCCCCGCCTTCTCCTTCTCTCTCTCCGGTGCCGGCCGGCCTCCAGCCGCCTCTCCCTCCTCGCCCGAGCGCCGTCCGGCTGTGCCGTCGCCTCCTCCAGCGTCGCAGCCGCCTCCTCTCCACCGGCCTGCCCTCCGTTTCGCGCGGTGACCGCCGGAGGCGCGTTCCCGCCGTCGTCCAGTGGCGTTGCCGCCACTGTACCACCTCCAGCCGCCCCTGCCACGCTGCTCAGGTGCGGGCTGGCCGCGCCGTCTCCTCCTTCGTCGTTGCCGCGTCGACCTCCACTCCGGCCTGCTCTCTGATTCGTCCGGAGACCGCCGTCGCCGCGCCGGCCTCTCCATCCTCTTCGTCGCCGGCGTCCTTTCGGCCGCCCCTTCC